AAAAGTGACTAGGGGATCGTTGTGGGTTTCTTGGTGGGAATGGATCTTGAAATCCAATTGTGACGCACGGACCCGAAATCCAGTTAAAGAGCGTTTCAGTGCCAAGCATTCCCGACTTTTAGTGCTATCTAGTGCTATGAATGACATTGAATGTGCCGTAGCCTGCTGTAGCCAGGTACCTAGCCGCTTAGTGCCGCGCTAGAAACCTTTCCATTTAACAGCCCGTTTCTACGCTGCTACCTTCAAATGTTGGTTCAGGGGTTCAATGTCCCTAGTGCAACCGAACATCATCACATATGGATGTATGTATGTACATTTCAATGTTCCCTATTCTCCAGTACAAAGATACCTTGAATACATCACAAAAGCATGAGGCACAGAGGCAGCTTGCATCAATTCCGGTAGCACAAAATGCACATGGCTGCAAGATGAAATTGAAGGTCTAGGCTGTCTGTCTACAGGAGATCTATGATCACAATTTTAACTTGTACTGCCCAGGTGCATCGTTATCCCTCCGCCGCAAATTGACAATTGTGAGTGACATCACCGTTGAAACTTCAAATGTGGTTAGCATAGCTGGCATGACAAGGCCCGAATTTCTTATCTAATTCCCAGATTTCTTCATCATAAAGGGCTATTAATGTTATGGATTAAATGTTTCTATATTAAGATCAAAGAGAAGTTTCATGTGAAAGAACACACTCACGTTATCAGAGTGTCTTCCAACCTGACGGAACATACATAGGTATCTAGAAGCTGCATAGAATCAGGAATTCGATTGGCTAGTTATGCCTAAGAGATCGATGCAACCCCTTTCTGTGTGCATTAAGAACCGGTCAATCAGGCCAGTACATATCTTGAATTTTAACCAACCCCCTTGGCATTTCTATGCATTTGACAAAATGGTCTTATTTCTTTTAAGGAGTTCTATTGGTATCACTTGATAGATTTCTCTCTTTCTTCGCGACATGTAAATATTAAGACAATGAAATGATTGTCTAGCCTTATCCCTTTTTAATATGTACCTGGCTGGACTGGCTGGAGTACAGGGAAAGGTCCTTGACTAAAGATATGAGACTTTCGACCGGTCGACAATTAGGTTTAGCTAGAATCCCGTTATCCTATCCGTTGTCTCTTTTCACATGGCCTTTCCGAATTTAAACTTTCATAAGGCCAGTAGTCAATTTTTAAAGAACCTTCAAGTGTTAACATCCACCTAACTGGCACCGATCATAGTCCTGGAGATATCCGCACCGCCGGGTCCTGGTTATCTGGGGTCGTCTAGGATGCTATGTCTTAGTCATGGTCCAATCAAGAAACGTAGGTCTCCAACTTATTGGCGTATATTTGTATAACATACTTCCAAGGTGAAGGGCAGCTATATGATGATGCGCTCCTTACACGAAATGAAGTTACATATACGTCATCTACATTGTTATAATGAGCAACACCACTTCCTTACATGTTATATGGATATATGATAGGTAATGATCGAATCTCAATCGTCCAGCGAAGTAACTTATCATACCAGGTAATCACCGATTAATCATCAGTCCGTACTTAGAGACTAACTTTCTAACGATAGTAGTTTTAAACCGCTATATAACAAAAGAAAATACTTGTTACCAATTCAATCTTAACACCGTCCCATGCAACTATAATACACCACTTAGGTACCTTTAATTTTAGTAACATTGAATATACACTCACCATCTTAATGTTAGTAGGTTATTTCCTAAGTTATGTCTATTGTCGTGTATATTTAAAAACTACTTAGGGCTTGACTAAGACTTGCCCGGGTATTGGCAACTGGCAAGTTTTTTTACCTAGGTTATTAATTGTGTAAATAGTGTTGCTTTTTATGAGACGCAAGCGTGTCGCCAAATAGCTAGGTTAATAACAATAGTGACATCAGGGAAAGGAACTAAAACAGTTTCTTTTCAAGGAAATGGAAACGAAAACGTTGGAAAGGTTTACTCCATATATCAAGTCCTTAAGGGGTTTATCCATTCTCAAAGGGGGGCATATAGAATATGAGAAATTCAAATGATTTTAAAAGCCCAAAATCGAAACGATGAGTAATTCAATCATTCACTTTTTGGTTGAAGTCTTATGACATTAATTACACTTTGCTTACTCGAACTAAATATCCTTTTATTATTCCTAATTGCTTTTTGCTCGCTGTCTTTACATAGAACTATCCGTCGATAAGTCACTTCGAACTTGGGTCCAACGTAACTAGGTAGTTAATAAACTGCGAAAACTTATTTTCAATCCGGCTTTTAAGGCACACTGAGTTTATAAACCGACTGTTGAATATTTACAGATGATATCTTCCTAAATGAAAGTTTATGTTAGAAGGGTTTTATACAATGAAATACACTTAACTTGAAGATAATTTAAGCTACCTACCTAGTTACCCCTTATTTAAGTGGCTCTCATAAAATACACATATCGATGAAAGGAGATTTTGAAGATATGTTGTTACTTGGTTTCATCATGAAATACCTTTATTCGTCCATTTAATGAAATATTAGGCATTGAAAACCAGCTCTTCCATTGGGGTCGAAAAATGAAGTTTAAAGCTACCCTTAGAGCCCATAATCAAATCAAACGACCGTTCTACGGAAACTCTAATCGGTTATCATCGAGGATTTATCAGGTAGTCATGCCACAAATTCTACGGCATTGCGGATGTAACAATTCGCAAGGCCGAGACCATCATGACTGTGACGCTAGTGTGTCTCGGGATAAAAATATCAACATCACCAAGTAGACCGTAAAGGGGTCTTGATAGAAGGTCGGCATGGCATGCCTCAGGGCTGAACGGAGCAAGCTTGAGGTTAGTTTATGATATGTGGTACCCACAAACCCATCCTATAGGCATACGGCAGAAAGGATACCTACCTAACTACTAACATAGCAGACGGCTCCCATTACAAGGGGCTTCCAAGCTCATGGAGATGTGGTATTATGTCCGAAGGATCTTGGCGAAAATTGCGAACTCCGAATTCGTCCGTGATTAGTAAACATATCCACCTTATTGAAGAACTTATGTGTTTTTACGGCCAATTTGTCTGCTAGAATTGTGCGAAGGAATCATTATGTTGTACTGCAAGCTACGCATAGACGGATAGATTACGGGTCAGGGGTCAGGGGTCAGGGGGCAGATAGGTACCTATATACATATGTAGGTGTCGGATAGGCGTGTAGAAATCATGGAGTCGCAAGTTTTATTAACAACCCAAGCCACTTGCCGTGTGATCTATACATTTTGATTGTAAAACGTTTCTATTATTCTTAGTCAGTGCAGAATGGCTGAATATTCCCACGAATCTGCCTTCGAGGCTGCTTGCGAAGCTGGCCAGATACCGGGCGCCGTTCTTGTCGCTGCAGATGCTACGGGCAAGTTCAGGTACGCGAAAGCGTTTGGTAAGACCGCACACGGCGAGACACTCGCTACGGACAGTGTGATGTGGATGGCTTCCTGCAGCAAGCTCATGACATCCGTTGCTGCGCTGCAACAAGTCGACCGAGGGCATATTGGCCTAGACGAGGATATCGGAAAGGTACTTCCGGAGCTCAACGCGCTCAAAGTCCTGACTGGGTTCGATGGGGAAGGAAAACCTGTGTATGAAGAAAGACAGGTCACAATAACTCTGAAGTGAGTAGACCACAGTGACTTGCGTAGTAAACCTCGACTTAGCTGATATTTCTCTCAAGGCACCTGCTCACACATTCCTCCGGGCTTACCGCACCATTGTTTTCTCCTAAGCTTAAACAGCTGGCGGATTTCAGGGGTCCTCCTACGAAGCCCCTCAAGACTATCGTGGAGGAGTATTCCGAGCCTCTGGTTTTCCAGCCCGGGAAAGGTTGGCAGTACGGCACGGGCTTGGACTGGGCTGGTAAACTCGTTGAGCGGTTCTCCGGCCTTTCCCTCGAAGAATACATGCGTGCCAACATCTGGGGACCGCTCAATATGCACCACGTGAGCTTCATCCCCGATTCAAATCCAGAATTGAAGGCACATAGGATAGGGATGAGCCTCAAAGACGAGAGTGGGAAGATGGTTCCCACGGGGGAGGTTCTCTCTGACATACTCGGTGGCAAAGAAGATATGTACGGAGGATCAGCGGGCTGGGGGTCTGGAGAGAGCTATCTCAATCTCTTACAGAGCCTGTGCGCCAACGACGGCCAGGTTCTGAACAAGGAGACGGTGGATGAGATGATTCGGCCGCAGCTCAGCTCCGAGTCTAAAGAGACCTTTAACACCATGCTAAAGAACGACGAGATGTTCCAACGAATAGCCGCTAACTCGTTCGATATGGGCCATCAAGTGTTAGACTATGGCCTTGGCGGGGAGATCGGTACTAGAGATGAAGTTGGTAGGAGGAAGGCTGGCACCATGTCGTGGGGCGGGATGCCGAATCTGATCTGGTGGATCGACAGAGAAGCTGGTCTCTGCGGTGCACTCTTCACGAACCTCGTACCGATGGGTGATGTGCAGATTCTCAAATTGGAAAAGGAGTTTGAGCTGGCGGTCTACGAGCAATATGAGAAATTTAAGAAGCAATAAATTGAATAGGCGGATAGGCAGTTGAATAAAGTAACAGTTAATACATACTCTACTTTGTCGCGTATGTATGAATCGATTTAGAATGAATAAGCTCTAAAGTTGATCTCCGTCACCATCAGAATAGAGCAACCAATTTGTGTGTAGGTACTACCTAACTGTTGAGGTAATTCAATGTTTCGTGAATGCAGAAGTCGACGTGCAATTTTATCAATGTCCCGTAGTACAGAACTTGGGAAGTGACGATTGTTCTTTCCCTCTAAGAAGACATGCGACCGGCAAAAATGACCGGAGGAAGGTACTTTCGCGCACGCCTTCCCCGGTTTCTTCTATATTCATCTCCGGATCACTAACAACATTGGTTGAGCAAAAATAATTAAATCTCGACAAAAAAGTATGGTACAGAAGGATTTTAACCTCCATATGATGGACTCGCGGGGAATCGAACCCCGGACCACTCCCAAGCGGGTGTTGGAGCTTAATCTTGCTGTATAATCGCATGATCTTTGCATCTAACGGTGCTAAGGGAGTATTATACCACTAAACCACAAGCCCCGTGATTGTTAAATAACCGATAGTCCGGAATACTTATAATCCTTGTGAGGAAGGAGCGAGTTGAGCTCCGCAAATGCCCCGGTTTTGACTTGGAGAAGTGCGGGTGCTATGGCGTCAATGTCATCCTCTAAGCGCTTAAAGGCTGGCTGGCTATGAACCTATCACGAAGGAAATATTAAAACTCGGTACCTACCAACAGAGGTACATAGCTACGTATTATCTATACCTGGATATACTTAAACTTCGAATAAAAATTCTCAAAGTGATACTTACTCGCTTGGAAAAGACATTTTATTAACTTTTTTTCGGGATAAAACCTCAATTTACAAGTCTGGTGCTGTTTATTACAAAGCTCGGAGTTTTGTTCTATCAATGATGCTAAGCTTACCTACCTACCCGTGGACTTCGACTTGTTAGTAATTCTTTAACGAAAGTACTGTCTTTTCTAAGAAGAGACATTGTGTGAGCTTTCATAATTAGACGTAGTCGTGATAGGTATTGTCACGAAGAACGATCATATTAAGACATATTATTGATGAAACTGATTTAACTACCTATTACATACACAGGTACTCTAAGGTACTTAGCTACGGTTAGCTAGATACTCGACAATATGTTGGACTGCTGTGGAATATGATAGGTAATGCTAATAGTCTCATATCACGAAAGGTAGGTAGACATTGCGACTCGACTTTACCTGGGGAAGATACAAATCGAGGACTTAATTGTCAATATCTCAATATCTATGTTGCATCTATTACAACATAGAAGCAGCATATACCTAACCCACACACAAAAAGCTTCGGTGATCCTGCTAGGGCTCAATGAGGGCTTGAAGAAATCCTGGGCAGCAACGGGTCTCCATTTGTACGTACATACGAACACGATACATGCAGGAGTGGTGATGACTTGGTTGGACGTTGGGCTGCGATTTGAAAGAAAATTCTGCAGGTATGAATTACTTGTAATGCCATCGCTTTAAAGATTGTTTGTGTAATATGAGCATATGAGTATCTAATTTTTACACGCATGTAGAGAACTACGAAGTTTAGAAGCTCGCGTGAACAATATCTTAATGTGCTCTTCTAAGCAACTCTCCGTAAGATAAGCGACTGAAAGGCTGCATTTTGTATTTATAATATGTAGGTACATGTCTGAAGGCAACATTGAACATTGAAAAAACAGCTATGCGCATCCAGTAGCTTCTAAGGTTGAGATACTTCGTGTGGATACTCTAGTACCCAAGAAAATTCAATAGCGTGCAAGTTCCTCGCTGCTGGTAGCTACCGTGCCTGCTGGTTTTTGCCCCACCTTTGTACTAGTACCTTGAGAATCCACGGCTGCCACAGCAAGCACCACTCCCGCCCCACACCGCAATCATTACGCAAAAGGCAGTGGCCGATCAGCCGCGAACTTTCAAACATCTAAGAGCTAAACCTATTTTTTCTTTCTCTTCAACACTTCTCGATTCCGCCTATTTTACATCTCATCGACGATTAAGTCAAGTAAGTTATTTGGTAATTCAGGCGGAAGATATTATTTCTCTCCGCTTGTCATCAGAAACTAGGCACCCTTGTTGAACTTGGAAACGACGGTACAGCGGCCTGCACCCGCCTGCACCGACCTAATTCCAGCTTCTCAGCAGCCGTGCCGGAAATCGTATCTACCTCACATCATCATCCGTCCGCCCCTCATCCGCGTCTCGTCTACCTAGCTAGGACCCAACAAATTTCCTGTGTCTCTGCGACGTGTAGCATACCTCTTCCAACCCTTTTAATTTTTCGGACCAGCTGTGAAGGCATCATAGCGCTTCCGGAAAACGAATCCTTTTTTATTTTATTTGATACCCGCAAGGCTGACATCCGGAGACGAGGCTTAATCCGACAATTTCACTGGGGTCCTACGATACCCCGCCTCGTGTGCTAAGGAGCAGCTCGATATACCATACGAGAGGAGTTGTCCAAGCTGTATTGGACGCTCCCCGCGCGGCAAGTCGAATTGTCGTCACCGATTACCTGAGCCTTGGTAGTGGAGGGGGAGCTGACTTATTCTTTGCGGCTTTGCCGCCCTGGTCTTCAGCATGGGAAAGATAGCGAAGGCCATCCAGCCTAAGCACAAGGAGACGCTGGTAAGTCCTCCTGTATAATGTTTTTTTTTAATGCCGTTTAACTCGCTGACTTTTATCTAGTCTCCTTGGCTGCAGGAGTTCGTCGATGATGCGACCTCCGTACCCTTACCACTCTTACCGAAGACCCTTGCCACATTCCCTTCACGATGGCCTTTCCCTCGAGGCGACCTGTACCATTGGATACCGTTGCTGAACCGTTTCGACGACGTTTTGGAATCGTTCTGCTCTCATTACAATCTGAACGAGGGTCCCCAGACTAGAGATTTTAGCTGCGAAGTTCTGGGAGCTAGCTCGACCAGCGACCAAGAGAAATCGAACGAGCCACAGGACCTTTCAGAATTGGGATACGGCAAGGATGGCGATGTCAAGCTCGTCGTGGCCATTCTGAAGTTCACTCAGATGCTTCTAGACCACTGTGGAAACCGCAGCATATATGCCAGCAGCTCCCACTTGAACGATCTCCTGAACAGTACCGACTTCGTAATCGTCTGTGCTACCTTACGCGTTGGTGTAGAACTGGCACAGCGTTACCAGGCCTCTGTTAAGCGTATCCACGGAATGACGACCCGACAGGTGCACACGACTCTCCTCACGAACCATTATAACATAGATTTAGATCGTGTACAGCAGCTTTCTCAGCCTTTCGTCAAGACTCCCCTCTCGAAGTTGTTAGAACCCACACTTTCTAGTACCCCTGGTTCTATCGGTAAGAGTAAAGAGAAATCATATGGAGGCTCGAAGAATGTTGCCACTATGTATGCGAACGACTTGTGCGCTCTCGCCAAAGCCGACTCTACCGAGAACTCGGGTTCGCAAGCTCGCTGGAATGGCTGGGGTGATGTGAAGCTCACGTATTATCCTATTTCGGATAATTTGCAGGGATCAGCGCAACAGTCTCTACCCGATCGCGGTGCGACCTCAAACGCACCTTCAACACCGACCCCTTTGAGGCGAAGTAGCACTTCCGCTGCGACTCAATCAACTCCCCGTGCAGGCCGCCAAGGAGCGTCAGAAGAGACTCCAGGGTCTGCCTCTCGATCGCCGGCTGTAGGGCGGGACGAGAGTAGCCCCCCTGGTCAGAAGTCTTTGGAGATATCCCATGCCGCGGTGTCCTCATCGTCAATTTACCAGCTACTCGCGAGAGCCCCGGCAGATCTACCAAAAGATGCCAAGTACGAGCTCTTGAATCGGCTTAGGGTCGCTAAGGCCCTCACGGGGCCTGTCGAATCTCGACGGCAGGCACTTAAGGCCCGCCTATTAGCTATCCAGAACCTAGCGTATATCCACATAGAACCTACCTTCATCGAGAGGGTCCTTAGGCAGGACAATGATGAACCACGGCGGTTCCAGCTGGTATATCAGCTTGCAGAGTTGATCCACCCTGCTGCCGATGGCGCCGCCGCAGTACCTATTGATCTACAGTCTATTGCATTCTCATTATTGGAGGCCATTTCGAATTTTCATCACAAGTTACCCGACGTCTTCTCGGCACTGAACGCGACGGTGAACCACGGTGTGTTACTTTATGTCATTAGAAAAGCTGTTGCCGAGATGAAGAAGGATGACTCTGGGGAGCAATGGAGCGAGCAGGACGAATGGCGTGAAACCCTGATTTCTCTCACGCTGCATATCACGATGTCGATGGCCAACAACACGTCGCGTAGCATGCCTGAGATTATCTCGGCCGGATTGCTGGATATTATCGTTGAGATCCTTAACATTAGGTCCAACATAGCCGAACGCACGTACGGCTCTTTGGTAGGATTCTTAGACAGTCTTGTGTACAACGTTCAGAATTCCTTCCAGACATTGATAAATGCCGACGGTCTTGAGGCTATTACAAATCTAGTAACTCATGAAGTCGAACTGGCAGGGAAGCTTATTACGGAGGGCAAGGGAACACCCGCTACACACCGTTCTCAGGTTGTTGATTACGAGATACCCTATTGCCAACAGCAAAACCTCAAACATCTTTTGAAGTTCATTCATCATTTAATGTCAAACGCCTTCGCCTTTGGTGGCAACACTGATCGGCTATTGAGGAACCTCGTTGATAAATCCGCGCTGCTTCGCAGTATACGCGAGATTATCGAGAACATGGCCAAATTCGGCTCTCTAGTGTGGACCAATGCCGTTATTATTTTGAGTGACTTCCTCAACAATGACCCGACTAGCTTTGCGGCCATCTCTGAAGCCGGGCTGGTTCAAAGTTATCTGCAAGCTTTGACAGGTCGTCCGGTACCCACGGGGGCTCTTGGTGGAACAGACTCAGCCCAGGAAGGGAACCGAGACGATAGTCCCGGATCGCCTTCGGATGGGACTACACCTGATCTTCTTGAGCCTGACAGTCGCCCCCATCCCCCATCACAAGAGGACTTAGAAGCACCTCGCGACAGCCCGTTAGCTCGCGGTATTCTACCTAACTCGGAGCCCATTACGATAGTGCCGACCGTCTTGAATGCAATTTCCTTGAATAATCTTGGAATGAAGATGGTTGTCGCGTCGCACGCATTCGACAGCTACTTCGAGATATTCGAGAGTCCCGAGCACGTCCGGGTAATGGCAACGGACGATAACGTGGCTCAGAACGTGGGTGGCAATTTCGATGAACTTGCTCGGCACCATCCCTCTCTTAGGCCGGCTATTGCAAATGCCGTGTTGGATATGATTGCTCGAGTCACCCATCTCGCCAAGGTCAAGGCTAGGGATGCCCAGTGGGGAGCCAAGCTTCTTGTGAAGGATTCGAGTGGCCGAGACGTGGTTGCCGACGAAGGGTTATTGAGTGAGCCCCGAGAGGCCCTTTCAGCTAAAGGCAAAAGCAAGGCTGTAGCTACAGCCGACGATGCTGACATTGAGATGACGGATGCAAGCG